TATTCTTAGGTCACTCTTGGGATCGTAAATCATTCATGACCGAGGTCCTGTTCCCAGTCACAAAAGCCATCAACACAATCATGGCCAACTTGTTTTTATATGTTATTGAAGACAGCCCCTGTGAATTTTTCAAGATATGCAGAAGGGCAAACCTACAAGAAAATACGATGCGTGCACCTCCATTGTGACATCTGCTTCAAAGTGAAACCAAAATTGGTATCTTACAGAAAACTTATACGAAGCGGATACGATTATGTATTTGGAGTGATAAAAAAGCCCAGTACTTCTAATCTTCTGCATATGAGTTGGTAAGTAAATGCCTACTTCTACTCTGCAATATAACCACTGTAATAGTGCAAAGAATTTGCTGGTCCTACAAAGCTTTTTCAATGGCAAGTAAATACAAGAGGAAGTCTTCGAAAACCTTTGAGCAGCGTAGCAACCAGGCGCGTATTCTATGCCGAAGTTTACGAGAAAAACCGATTGTTGCATTATGTCACCTCATACAAAACCTACCTGATCAACGTAGAAAACTTGCAATTTTTTGATATGGAAAATGGATCAGAAAACAAAATATAAGAACAAGGAAAAAATTGGTCTACGTTTTTTTGCGTGCTTATAGATTTCTAATTAATCAACGTGGAGGATCTGGGGCGAGGTACAGGAGCAAAAGGGACCTGTTAAAACCCTATGCAGTAAACTGTTACAGCAATATTGTTTGCAAGTCTTAGATAGTCTTACAATCTCTATGTTTATGAACATGGTCAGGTTAGCGCAGAAGATTCCGTCATGTGATTACCGAAACCAGGAAATAATGGTAGGAATGTGAATTTAAAACAAAAATTTGTAAGGAAGAATTTATAAGAAGGTAATGAAAAAAATGAACGAAGAGAACCTTCTCCAGCAACTGGCATTACCGCAATTTTTACTATAAGATCAAAAAGGGGAGACCAAAATTCGTGTTTTGTCAATGTTCACCGCTCTTGTTTTATGGTATAAAACCTGTAATTCGTGAGCAGCACAAAGTTCATTTACGAAAAACAAAATTCTCTGAAGTGTAATAAAAAATATAGAATGTTTGAGCTCTTATTTTGGCCATCTGCAATCAAGTACTATGGTTCTGTGCGAAATCAATGCAAAAACAAATTGATAAAACGACCCAAAGGCATCACCGCGATCGATAAGAGGAAAAAACAAAGAAAGATTTATTCGACTTCTTCACCGTGCGTGCTTACTCGTTTAAACCTGAGAATGCAATTAGATCAGGCTCCGCTCACTGTACTAGTGCGCGGCGAGACCCCTGACAGCTGACCTCCTATGGATATACGGCAGTACATTTATTGGGTACCTAAGTACCCTCACCCGCTTGGATAAATTCACTCATGTGCTGAGCAATTATCGACGAGTCAAGAAGGCATTCCAAGTAAAACGGATTCAGGTTTTTCTCTGCACAGCGTTTATATTTTTTCGCGCTGGTGATTGAGTGGAACTCTAGCATGCACGAACTGTAATACGGCACCCTCTTGCAAAAAAACCTTTATTAAACCAGTGAAAAGATCATGACAACAACAATTTATCATTAACTCCTGGAGCACTTATGAAAGCAATAAACGTAAATCCTGTTTTTACGCAAAAACTATAATTTACTCAATGTAGGAAGTTGCGGGCACCGCATCGGCAGCTGGAGTGTCAGTAGTCGATTTGCGTTTAGGCATCTTGTCTCTTTCACTTCCTAGAATGAAGGCATTCGTCGCATACCAGCAATCAATATTCAGATGGGACAATTGCTACATTCCCCTGTTGATGAACTTGATAAAGCAGGAGAGCTGTATGCTTTAAGAATTTTTAGATTAATTCTTATAATATTAAGACCAAAAAATTTGACATTAAAGTTATTTTTCTCTTTCAGTAATACTCAACACACTTTGAGTGGCAAACTCCTTAAAGGTCTGTACATGGATGCTTATTACGCGTTTCTTGGGTTCAGCTATTTTAGGTTTTTCCTAGGAGCATTGAACTCGTCTTCACATATTGTTTTAAGGATTAACTACGAATAGTAGCAAGCAATTGTATGCTGTATCATTATAGTGGGCTATTTGCTAAATGAATTAAGCTGAATCTGCTACCAAGGCGCTGCCAAATCAGCTCTACAAAACCATCCAGACGCAGTTCCGTTAAGACTGTGAGGGCACGCAGTAAGTCTCCCCGCTTTTCCCTGGAGCGACTACTTAGGCGCCACGGAAGAAACTATCGCCTTCCAAACGCTAGGCTCTAGCTCCACCCAACGGGAGAAAGAAAAACAAAAAAGGAAGAAGTAAAATTGACATAGTGTCTTCAAAATGTCATGCGATAAATTAATGATTCTCCGAAATGCTTGCAGGAAAGGTAATTTCTGCTTCTCTATCTAATGGTGCGAGATTATTACTATATTAAGCCAACATGGAGAGCCGTTACTTTTATATTTTTCCCATAGTGGCCTCATAAAATAATAATCTCGCTCCATTAATAGATGATAAATAGCAGATTTTCAGCGGATTTTATGCCGAGAGCAATGACCTAAGCAGGGTGACCAATCTCGAAAGATTGTTTTACGCGAAGCTAGTGATTTATTTCGGCTCGTGTTTTCCCGATGTTTTACGCGAAGCTAGTGATTTATTTCGGCTCGTGTTTTCCCGATTACTTCAAGAAAACGTAGAAACATCATCAGGATAACTGATGCCACTCTAGAATAGAAGAGCAGCTCAAGTGAATAAATGAGAATTTAGGTGAAGTGAATGCATAAAGTTGTCCTTTCATAGCCAGATCATGTTGAATTGAAAATGCGACATCATAAAGACATTACGTTAAATATTTCTCTTTTTTGGTCGCTTGCATGTCCATTCATCAGGCTTGCACAGCTCAGTTTGATATAGAAAGTAGGCGGAATAATAGGCAGAATCAGAGTCTAGCGCTTGAAAAGCAGTATATCTTCCCAGGACGCTTTAATATTCAGGGAAAAGTGGCGAGGCTTTGGGAACTCCTGCTCGCTCCAAAAACTGCAGGGATATTCAAGGTGTCGCCAAAAATCTACTGACTTGTTGTGTATAACTTTTATTTGCATATCTTTTCTAAACCATTATGATTTTTGAAGGGCTAGCTTAAACTCAGGTTTTTGCATATGATCCGATCTTCCGTTTCCATTACTGTATGACTGTGGGACGGTAATTGCAGAAGGTTCTAGCGGCTATTAGGCACCTACCTAACAAAGTCTTGCTGAATCAAACAGTTACTGAATCGAACAGTTATCACATCTAGGCTCAGCGTACTGCATAATCAAACAAGTTTACATTATTCATAAAACTTGTTGAAGCCATTGCCAAAGTACCTTAAGCCAAGCTGACCACATCACTGTACTGTGATCTTACGGTTAAAAAAGGCACAGGATATATGAGTCTTTCACCCCTTTAAAACGAATAATAAATTAGAAAAGATTCAAAGATAAAGGGGCACAATTCAAACACTGTTTTAAGATAACTGCTTAGTCCTGCCGCCATTATTCTCTTATTAACCGAGATCGTTAACTCTGTTCAGGACATTTATGACATTCAGCTCAATCATTTGTGGTACAAAGTTTGAACGAAAGAGGCTGCTATTATTGGAGCAGTGTAGAAAGTTGGTGTAGCCATAACGAGTTAGACGGAGTTGTATAAGTGAATACAAATGCAAGAGAACTATTTTGCTACAAAATTTACTATGCTTCTACTAATGTCAAAGATTGCAACGATGAAGAGTATCATGAATAGGTTTCAAATCAGCGAAGTAATTTTTAGAGCCTACTCATAGGTCTAGGACACCTATACTCGAACATAATTCGTGCATTCCCACATTCTAATTTTGTATAAAAGATTTCTTACATTCATTTGGGAAGATGGAGAAAAAAATTTGGCATGAGAACAAAATATAATTGCTCTTGAAAATTAAATTGTAGTTATAAATACACACAAATTGTATACAAAATGATCAGATTAGCTCTTGCTACCGTAAAATGATCAACCGAAACTACCTTTATCAGATGCAGGGCGGAGCAATCGCACCAAAGTCGCATCAGCTTCCAGCAAAGTCAGATCATGGTCCGATCCTAAGAATCGCTCACTCAATTCGGGATCATGTAACCGGAGCAGTACAGTAGCTCCCTCGCTATACGCCCTTCAACAGAAAGATAGATGATTTGCAATGCTCTAGATCTGAAAAGATAATTTCAAAGCCTCACTCGGAATTCACGGAAGGCGCTTTGCAGACTGCGTTGAACTTCAGTCCGAAGTCGATGTAGAGATCGTCCTATAAATCCCTTTGAAATAGATTAAAAATACATTCTTCAGCATCTAAAGAATAGGATCCACTTGAACACGATGTACTATGCGACCCGTTACAACACATCCATTAAAATCGCCCAGCTGCATAAACTTTGATTGCCTCAACATACGCGAGAAAGTAAGGTCCTTAATCATTTGACATAGTTTTGAAGCAATTCACACAAGTCAATGTGAAAAGCCTGTTGTCACCTTATTTATGTCGGTTACGTCTCGTCCGAGGCTTTCGACGAATTCATCAAATTCATCCATCGAGGTGGACGCCGTGAAACTTGGCCCAGATGATTCGCCAGCAGAAAAAAATCGCAGAATTGATGCTCGTATGGGAAAAGTTCCCTTTCTCAATGAGCGTACAACCACGTTCATCTTTAAACCCACACAATTAACGGATAGATAACATAATAGCAAAGTTAATAGAGATTTCAACGAAGAAAGAAGAGTATACATGGACGTAAGCCAATTAGAAAGGAAAAGCTTGACTGTCGCATTAAAACGTTCATTACAAACTTAAAAAAGCGATTAGTATTAAGTCAGAAGTGATGAGGTGAACATACGCCTAACAAAGAATCACAGATCATGTGCTTAACCTTTGTGTAGTGAAAGGGTGTTGAAAGCATGTAAGAACTGGTACAACTTTTTGTAAAGCAAAATGAGCCACTTGTATCATGAACCTCAGCAAACAAACTTCAGAACTACAACTACGTATATGGATTATTGTCCTTCTCCTCCACCTTCTGGTGTCATTGCGTTCGATATAACAACGAAGATCACAACGGGAACAATATACATCCACTAAAAATCGTTTTTAGTTGTTTTTCAATGGTTTTCCTTGGAAATAACAGGTTACTTGAGTAAATTTATCAGGAAATAGCATTGAAGCTCACATATTTGGCTAAAAAGCTACGGTCATCCGATTCTGCACCATGCTGTCGCGCTCTTCGCTCTTTTTCCATCATTTGCACAAATAACTGTGTATCAGGCCTAAATACAATAACGAGTTATAGTGGATCAAGCTGGAAGCTGCCAAATGTGCAAACATACGTCGGAAGCACGCCTTTTGCTGTAATATGTACAACAGCATTTGGCTGTGTAGTTATGGCAACAGTTTGTTCTGCACAAAGCGCATTCGAATCTAATGGTGTGTCTCCAGCAGCCAGTGAGTCCGGAAAGACGGTAATGGAGTGAAGAAGTTGGCGTTCCGTATCAATTGATAACCAGAATACATGGAACAATTTAGATTGAAGAAGTAGACACTGAAAGAGAAGATAATACTTTGCATGACTTATAAACTTGCGGTACGAGATGGTGTGAAACTACTTTGAAAGAATAAACACACCGTTTTACTAGTTGATAATAGCTGATCTTTTTGATGAGTAGAACTCCTAGCTAATACCACGTAATCTGATGCAGGATCAGTGTTCATTCTTTCAGATAAACGTGAGCCTGGTGCAGCTTGGAATAGTCCTGTCCAGTTGCCATCAAAAGACCGCCGCAAATCAATTTTGCCCAGCGGATAGACGTCCTTCAATCCTCAAATAGACCTTTCGGTGTAACATATTACTCAAAACTCTGGCAAACGTACTATTCAATGAATACTCCAAGTCCACGTACCATTCAGCACTACATGCGCCCAAAAGTGCAATTACCAGTGGTATTAACATTTCTGAGAAGGACCAATATGAATAGAGCAATTGTAAACACGATACTAGATGATAAGGAGGTTTGAAACCACGAAAAAAAAGACATCAAGTAACAAATAGGTTTTATTAGATAATGGTCTGCAGATAGAAATTCGTAGTGAGAATAAAAATTCAAAGATCACCCAATCACAGAGAAAATGAAGATTTATAGGGACTGTCTAAAATCATGATCCCAGTAGACTGAAAACTTAAGAATTTCTAGTGCTTAAAAGTAGTACCAGAGCTGAAGACT